ATTGAAGTCCGCATCCTCGTCGGCGAACGTCCAGGATCCTCCGAACCGTGTAGATCGGATGGTTGTCGAGAAGGCAGGCGGGGGGGAGGGGTGTTGGTCGGTGGGCAAAGGGGACTGGTGGAGACAGGCTTAAGCAGGGAAACGTGGAAAGTGGGATGGATCTTCATCGTGGTGGGTAAACTGAGTCTGACGGCTGATGGGTTGATGATCTTCTCCACAGAGAATGGGCCAATGAACCTGGGGGACAGTTTTCTCGGAAAATCTTTCAAGTTAATATCACGAGTGGAGAGCCATACCTTCTGCCCTACTTGGTAGGAGGGAGCAGATGAGCGGTGACGATCGACAAATCGTTTATTTTGTTGGGTGGTCCTCAGTAGTGCCTTCTGAGTCTGCTTCCAGATCTTGTGGCAACGGTGGATGTGGTGTTGCACAGACGGGACCAGGATTTCGGTGTCTTCACTGGGGAACAAAGGTGGGTTATAGCCAAGAGATATTTCAAACGGGGAGAAACCGGTAGCAGAAGATGTGTGGCAGTTGTGAGAGTACTCAACCCAAGGAAGATATTCACACCAGGAAGAGGGGTTGTTATTGATGACACACCTCAGAGTACTCTCCAACTCTTGGTTGCATCGCTCAGACTGACCGTTAGATTGGGGATGGTGACCGGAGGTAAGACTAACAGTAGCRCCTAGTGCTGAACAGAAAGCCTTCCAGACTTGAGACACGAACTGGGGGCCACGATCCGAAACAATGTCGGAGGGGATACCATGAAGACAAAAGACATGTTTAACAAGTAATTGGGCGGTTTCAAAAGATGAAGGGAGTTTAGGCAGGGGAACAAAGTGGGCAGCTTTAGAGAAWCTGTCAATGATAGTGAGTATGACTGTGTTACCTTCGGATGGTGGCAGTCCAGTAACGAAATCCAGAGCAATGTGAGACCAAGGGCGGGCAGGGATGGGTAATGGATGAAGGAGACCGGCTGGTTGTTGGTTGTTATTTTTGTTAGTAGCGCAGTTAGTACAGGCGTTGACAAACTCCTTAATGTCAGGGATCATGGTGGGCCACCAGAAATGTCTTTTAGAGAACGAGATCATGCGAGAGATACCAGGATGACAAGAGAAACGATGGTTGTGAACCCAATCTAGTACTTTACCGATGATGCTTTTTGGGATGAACCTTGTGCCAGCGGGTCCAGTCCCAGGGTCTGGTTCAGACTGTTGGGCTAGTCGAATGGTGTTTTCAATGTCCCAGGTGAGCATGCCGACAAAACAGGTGTTGGGGAAGATGGGGGAATCCCTTTCAGAAGCGTCTGGAGGAGAAAACAGTCTGGACAAGGCATCTGATTTGACATTTTTTGGACCTGGGATATAAGTTATTGTGAAGTTGAATCTGGTAAAGAACAATGACCAACGAGCCTGTTGGGGGTTAAGTCGTTTGGCACTTTAGGCAAGGTTCTTGTGATCAGTCATAATAACAAAAGGGATTTCAGTACCTTCCAACCAGTGTCTCCATTCTTCCAGAGCAAGCTTGATGGCGAGTAACTCACGATTCCCAACATCGTAGTTGCTTTCGGCTGGAGACAGGCGTCGAGAAAAAAAAGCACAGGGATGTAGAGGACCATCCTCTGTGGTTTTCTGTGACAGAACTGCTCCTACCCCGAGGTCAGAGGCATCCACC